CGACCTCGATGCGCTGTCGCATACCTATTTATACCTTTAAAAGTCACTAGAATCGTACGCGTTGCCATTACGTCAGGATCGATCTCGTGTGGGCGGAATTTTCTAGGGATATTTTCAAAAAGAAAGAACGATACTTCACGGGAGATACGATAAATTCTTCTCGAATTTTTTAGTTACGACGTTCACGTTTTGCGAAGTAATCGGATAATACACCGGAAATTAATGGGATAAAGAAGAATTTTAACGAAAAGATACCTTTTTTTTCTTTGGTAAGATTAATTTTAAATCTATCTTTGACGATTAATAATATTTTAAATACTGTACTATATATCTACGTTGTACGTTCTATTTTTGCTATGTAACAAAGGGGATTCTTGTTGGAAAGAATTCTGTTTAAACAAATGTTTCAGAAATTTCTACGTGCAGCATGTGTTTATTTTTCGAGAAAAAATACCGTGACACGTACAGGTTCATCTAAATCATTCATTTTTGTTTAATCAAATCGGCTCTTCGAGGAAACCATTATTTGTGAACGTTTTCAGCACGTTTACCGCACGTGAGAGACCTTTCAGATACAGTAGACTAACAAATAATAATCGAGCGAACTTCTTTGCATAAGCAAAATCGTTTCGTTTGCAGTGTACCTTTTCGTCGATAACATTATTTATCATTGAAAATCGCTAGATTTGCATTAACACCTAGAGTATTATAAAATTGACAATATTAGTGTTAAATACGAAGTATTAAAAATGTAAGAGAATCACACGTTCATACTTTTATGAAATGAGTAATAAAATAGCGTGATTTAGTTTGAATTTAATAACATTACTTTTCCACGACAGTGTTTAAAAGTCGGAAGAATTTTATCTGTTTAATGAAGTTTATATTTACGTAGTTGAGAAAACATTCTATTCTGATAAAGACTTTCGAACAGAAATCATTACTTGCTAATATCAAGAGGATCCTCTCATAGCGTACTATGTACTAGAAACGCGAAAAGTAAATCTCGCGGTTACTATTTATTTTCTCGAATTTGTTACATTTATCTTCTCTTGAAACAAATTACATCGTTACAACTTTCTAGATAGGCGATAAACTGCAAAATAATCTTTAACAACTCTTCAACCATTCTTTGTAAACGAGGAATAATTGGTCAAGGATTAATATTCATTTATCGAACGTGATCATTTTATTCCGAATTTTCTGATACTCTTTCGTATCGTGCAAAACAGTTATCAATGGAGGATTAAAGTTAATTTTTATTTAAGGGGTACACTACCCCTTGAAAAATGGAAGGTTTCAATTTCTTCAGAGGATATAAATGTCAAATTTTTTCTTCAATTTTTGAAAAGTAAAAATGTTACAAAATGGGGCAAAAGAATTGAAAATTTTCATTCAGCAGTTACCCGCGAATACCAATTCCCAAACTTTTACCTATTTTTAAAAGCCTCGGGGTGGTGCATCTTCTTAAATGGTTATTAGATATACAATTCACTTGTTGAGAATTATACCTTGCAACTGAACGCATTTAGCGTGTACATAACAAATAGGGAATAAAGCAGAAAATATCGACTAATACCTTGCATTACGTGTTTCTTGGATTCTGTTGAACGATTGAAAGCAGAGAATCAGGTACATTGTACGAAGTAGGTGTTCTGAACGAAATTGGAAATATGTAAAATAGGACAAATGAGGAAGTGAACATGAGATAAAAATCGTTTCGAATGATCGCGATCCGTGTAATCCGCGGAAGGTTTCGAAGAGATAGATGCGCGTGATAATGTCGTCTACTTACATGTTAGGCGAGTATTTGGTACAGGATGTCCGTCAATGTCTGCTAATATTCAGTCGTTTTCTAGAACGACATTAAGCTACGACACGCCTCCCTCGCAATTATGTCGTTGAGTCTTCAGGGTCTGTAATAGAACTGGTCAAGGTATTGAATTGATGCTTTTCTGGAAATTTTCTTAGCCTTTCTTTCGTTACAACATCTTCTCATTTTCAATGGTTACGAATAGCTTAATTGTAAATAGTGTTAAACGAGCATCTTTTATTTGTAAGTTCTCTGATGAAAACTGGATATATCGTGTTGCTCTTCCATCAGAAAAATAATTCTTTCACATCCATGGAATAATGTAGTCGAGAAACAAATTTTCAACCTAATTTTATTCAATATCGATAATTCATTATTCTCGGTATTTCAGACACGAACTGTGCACACATACAATAGAGTAATGTATACTTGTTGAAAATAGAGTTATTAATAACAACACACTGTTTGAAGAGTGTTCGAAAATAATTATGTAACTTTACATTAACAGCATAATAGTCACAAAATCATTCCTCTCCTAATGAATAAAGCTCTGTAATATACCATGGATAATAATGTCGATATGTTGTATCGATTTATACGAGGCAATATTACAAATTAAACGTTTAAACATTCGTACGATGAGTTTGTTTTCTGTGAAACAATAGCAGGGGTGATATTTTCTTTGTCGGTGAAATTCTAGTTTCAGAAAACTACCCTCAATGACCGTGTGGCCTAACGGATAAGGCGTCGGACTTCGGATCCGAAGATTGCAGGTTCGAGTCCTGTCACGGTCGATGGTTAATTCTTTTTTTTTTTTCCACCTTTTATCCATCCAGATCGATTTCGATACTGCTTTCTGTAAACGTAAGAGTTCAATTTGAATTGTATCAGTTACGCACCGTTTTTAATTGCAAAATACACCATTACTCAATTTCAACCCTCTAAAATTAAGGTCGTACACGTGCTATCTGAAGAAAGTAAGTTTCGCGTCTTATATCACTGAATATTAAAAGTATAACAAATTTGAGAATTAATGTCTATTATATTACAAAAAATAAGATTGTATCTGTACATATGTAGAATGGTATATTATTGAATAGTGAACGTAGAAAAAATATAAAGTTAATATTTTATTTTAAACACTATTATTAAATAGTGATCCTAGGAAGAATTGAAAGTTGACATTTTATTATTTAAACACCGATGGGATGAAAAATCAAAAAAACAAATCGCGCCTAATTGTACCGTAGTTATTTGCAGCTTATTTTACGAGATATATAAACGTATATATATTTGGCAAGATAATAAAAATAGAAACAAAGTATGTGTATGGTGTTTATATTGAAAAAGAAAAGAATTTCGTTGATTTTCCTCGTTTGGCAGATGCTTAATCGTTTTGTTTTCACCGTAGTTTTTATTAAACTGTTGATAATTCAGCGAATTATCCATAGATCAGTTCATCCATGACAAGGCTCCCCGTTCAAGGTTTGAGAGATTTTGTTCAGTCCAAGAAAACTGTGCGCAAAACCGAACTGTTACGTGTGGCGGCTCGTTACGTAGATCATAATAGAATTGTGGGAACACGTAATAATTAAAGTGGTCATAGTGTGCTTCATTTATGTGTTAAACGAGTGCAGTCATCTGTGAATCAAGGCCGGCTCTTTGTAATTGTTTACGAAGTCAAAAAATTTGGTGTTGCGTACAAAACAGTGGCTTTATATGTTCAGCATTTAACGAAATCGATTATAAACCCATAGGATTAATTAAAACGGTGTAACACGCAATTTTACTCTCTCAAGTAAAGCGTTCAAATAATATACGACAAAAAAAGAAAAAAATGTGTCGTTCGTTCTAATGAATTTTTTTACCAATTTTCTTTATTATCAATTAATACAATTTTCCATTCTCACGTAAGCATAGATACGGTAATAAATCGGTAAATAGTATTTTTCATTAATTGGCCTTTTTGTACTTTCACTGATAAAATTAACATCGAATTCCAGTTCCAATGAAAAGTTTCAAATTCAACGAATTATGCAATTTTCTTATTGAACCGTTCGTTCCTGACTGTCTTTTATCGTGGCACTTATAACATTCGTATTACCTTTAAGGTAAAAGACAGAACGAACTCTCTTTTAATTAGATGCGAATCACGTCCTGCCTGCGAATCCCTTTGTAAACAGACTCAATTATCCATCTCCATCATCGGAAAGCCTCCAAATCGTTGCCTTTCAGAACGTTACAACCCACGCCCATTATCAGTGCAATTACAAATTGGCCCTACTTAACCTCTGGATATTGATTTGAAGCACGTGATCGCCTCCCGTTATGGGATCATACGTTTCGATGTAAGAAACAAACCTTCCCTCCCCCCGCTGAGCTTCGATCTCCCGAGATCAATGGCTATTGTTGATTCACGATCGATCGACCGTTCGAACGTGCATACATAGAACATGTAGTTAAATTGCAATTGATCAGCGATACTAAGGCAATGAAATTGTACACGCGGCACGCTATTCTGTTGGATTATTTTAAGGTACAAAGCGGAACAATGCGTTTATACGTGGATATTGTAAAATTCTGTACAGAAGCTTTTTTTTTTCAATGCATTACTACTTGCTATTTCTCAATCCTTCGGTTCTGTATTATTTCTGAATCGTTGTGATTTTATCTAACTCTACTCGTCGATCTCGCTTGCATTAGGCTGTGAAAAAACAAAATCAAATTCTGAACGAACAATGTGTTGACAAACTTTTGCAAAAGTTTTTCTTCTAAATATAAACTCTGTTCTAAGTTTTCAATTAAAATGATTACAATGCTCACGTTATTTCGACACTTGGTGTGCGAAAAATCGTCAATTCTGTTTTTTCCTTAATTTTCTAGGCATACAGAAATAAGTTTCTCGTTATTTATAACGCTGTAGCTTACGTTTCTGTGATAATAGAAAGGACGACGTGATATGGAAAGCGAAAGAAAATAATTTTAAAAAATTTTTCACATGTTAGACGATTAGTTGTACACGTGTGAGACACGAGCGTTAAAGGGTTAAGATCGCGAAATGCAACGCGTGTTCTCGTAGATTCGTCAACGATGATATTATACATCAACGACAGATTTTTTGTTACTTTTTATCCAGCAGGTTTCGATAGGAAACTGTGTAATTAGAAATGTTCGCGTGATGTTTCAGCTCACAAGTGAGCGCAGAA